CTTGAATGGGCTGATTCCTGATCAGATGGTCTCCGACCCGTGTGGGCGTGGGGGGTGGTTGCACTTTCTGGAGTTATTAGGCATAGAATATGGCTCTTCGGGGCTGTGTTGTGACATGTGTGTTGTATTTTTATCTGGAAACTTCACATCATAGATGCCACTGAGAAATGACATTTTGACTGTGGGGAAGGTATATACGTTTGCTTTGCTGGCTTCTTGCCTTCTAAATGTCCAAGTCCCCCAAGCCTTAGGCTTTGAACCTTTTCCGTAGCTACACACACTCTCTAGGTGACCTTATCTAGTTTGACTTTCAGTTCATTCTGTTTTCCAGATTCATATCTTTAATTTTGCCCTACTTTTCAGACACATACAACCAACTGCCTATGTATCATCTCCCCAGGGACACCAGTAGGAAACTCAGACCTGACATGCCCCAAAACAGACTTTACCTTGCCGCAGTCCCTAAGCCTGCTTCTTCTGCTGTGTTCTCCATCTCTGTAAATGGTACCACAATTCACCTTGCTGTTCGGGTCAAAAAGCTGAAGAATCATTCTTGATTTTTCTTTCCTTCATCTCCACATATAATTAATCTGCAAGCCCCATGGGTTCTACCTTCAAAATATACCCAGAATCTAACTTCTCACTTCCTCCATTGCTCTACCCTGCCTTTAACCAGACTACTGTAGTTCTCTCCTAACCAGTGTCCTGTTTCCACTCTTGCCCTCTTTCAATCTGTTCTCCACATTGCAGCCAGACAGGACTTTTACCACTGCAGGTCAGCGAACGGGAAACAAACATGGTGAGCCCAGTGGTCACTCCAGGCTTGCCGCCTGAAAGTGCTCTCCAGACTGTCGTGCAAGGAGGGAGAAACTAAGCAGAACATGGCGGCCTTGCTGAGCTGAGGAGAGATTGGAGTTTGGGGGTGGGGGTGGGGTTGCTGAGGCAGCTAAAATTTGCAAAGCAGAGTAATGAAGAGGAGGGGGCACACAGAGAAAGAAATCCTCTTGAGTCATCTAACTCATCTCTTGCCTCTGGTCTTGCTCCTTACAATAAGTTATCTACAGTCCAGCTAGTGTGTGCAACACTGATCACTTCGCTCCTCTTTCTGACAGCTATTCTCCCTCTGAATAAAGCCCGAAGCCGTATTCTCACCGAGCAGAAGATAGCATCGTGCTGTGTGTAGTCTCTGCATTGCTAGCTGGCCGAATTGCTGGAAAACCAGAGTAAAAGAACTACTTGCCATTCTCTGTGGTCCCTGAACCTGACCTCACTTCTGGACTCTGGCTAAACAATGTCCAGAAGGGAAGAAGGGCACACAATGACAGTAAAATGCAGCAAGTGCCGTCACAGAAGCCAGCACTGAATGTTCTGTAGGAAGCAAAGAGAAAGGTGCTGGGAAATGGCAGGAGGCAGTTGGAGGAAGCAATGCTGAAGTTGAATCTTAAGGGATGAGTAGGAGTTTTGCAGGGTCAAGGTGAGAATAGGAATTCTGGGCTGCGCACACACTGTGACACAGGTGCAGACGTGTCAGATGACAAAGGGTGTGATATGTCATGCACATGATTCTGCATATGTACTGGAGGGTGTTAGAATCAGATTTGTGTGTTGAAAGACAACTTTGCCAACAAGGTATGAGATGGATTTAGTGGGGAACTGGAGGCCAGAAACCAGTTAAGAGCCACTGCGATAGTCCAGGCAAGAGATAAGGAGGGGCAGAAATACCACCACTCGCTAACATCCCTTCAGAGCTTACTATGTTCCAGGCACATAGTAGGTTCCCATTTTATTCTAACATCTTTTCTATGAGGTCAGGAAACTGAGGCAGTTTGCCCAGGGTCTTACAGCCAGTGGCAAAGCTGATGTAGAAGCCCCAGTGGTGCCAGGCTGGGTGGCTCAGTGGTTGAGCGTTGACCTATGAACCAGGAGGTCACGGTTCGATTCCTGGTCAGGGCACATGCCCGGGTTGTGGGCTCGATCCCCAGTAAGGAGTGTGCAGGAGGCAGCTGATCAATGATTCTCTCTCATCATTGATGTTTCTATCTCTCTCTCCCTCTCCCTTCTCTCTGACATCAATAAAAACATATTTTAAGAAAAAGAAAAGAAAAAAGGAACCATCGTGGTGGCTCCAGAGCTCATGCTGTACACAGGGGTTGGACTCCAGTCTTCTAGAATATTAAGTAATTAAGGGACAAGTTCCCATTTTCCTCCCAGAATAGTTGAACTCAGAGTGCTTGACTTGGCGTGTGGGAAGGTCACCAGAAGCCAACCAGTCCTGAGCATGGAGGACATGAGTCAGGCCTTCTGGGCTGGCAGCTGGGCCGGTTCGTGTTTCCTCTGAACTTTGCTTGCTTTGTTTCTGCCTTGTCACACATGCCACTGGATTAGAATTATGAGAATTACTGTGGTAGGTGGGTGCCAGCATGGTGCATGACAATCTCCAAATTGGAAGGAATGTTCCCTATGGGCTAAGTTTAGGGCTCATCAGGAGGCCCAGAAAATGCCAGTATGCAGAGATTTAGCAGCAGCCTCTCCGTAAGGCAAAGCAGATGGCTCTGTTTTCTGGGAGGGACTAATAAGAAGAAAATGACTTCCCAGCATGTACCACTCACCAACAAGGTAGATTTTGAAGACCAAAGTGATAAAAAGTGTTTGTTTGTATTTCCTAGATCATTTCTACCAAATAGGAATGCGAATTCATTTTAAGCTTTAAAAAAGCTGTGGTGCGTTAGTAACCAGACAAGCAATGGTCCATGCTGCCTGTCACTACTTAAGCCAATGAAGCAGAGACAGGGTTCAATCATATATGAGCATTTATTCCAATACTCCCCGCAGGATGGGAGAGCAGCAGGTAAGCCACAGACGCAGCAGGTCAGCCACGGAAACCTGCTCTGCAGACCCCCAGAAGCCAGCTGCTTATATAGGTAGGACTACAAAGGAAGTCACCATAAGCCAGCTGTTTATATAGCAAAAGCACAAAGGAAAAATAGGCAAAAGGGCAGTTTACAGATATGCAAAAGGGCTTAGTGATATGAAAGGACAGGGTTACAAGGGGAAATAACCAAAGGAAGAGCCAAAATTAACAGGTAAGCAGGCTGGAGGTTTGCAAAGGCCTGCAGGTGTGCAAAAAGGGCTGGGGGTCTTCAAAGGGCTGGTGATTCTGGATTCTGCAGCAAAGTTGTTCATCTTTCCATGACAATAGGCAGCTCCAAATGGGGAGGGAGGAAGGGCTGCATGACCAGGTCAGCTCCAGCCAGGGTAGAATGTACCTTCTTTAATCAGAATAAATAATCACAGTTAACAGAGCAGGATTAATATTTCTTACAATACTTTCTTTCCCTTTCATATTTACACAAAGAAATACTAGTTGGCTGTGAAAACCTCCCTGAAATCTTACCTTTTGTGACAGCATGGATGGGCCTGGGATTATTGTGCTAAGTGAATAAGCCAGTCAGAGAAAGGCAAGTACCATATGATCTCATTTATATGTAGAATCTAATGAACAAAATAAACGGATGAACAAAATAGGAGCAGAGCATAAATACATGGAACAAACTGACAGATCTCAGAGGGGAGGGGTTTGGGGCTCCAAATGGGGAGGGAGGAAGGGCTGCATGACCAGGTCAGCTCCAGCCAGGGTAGAATGTGCCTTCTTTAATTAGAACAAAGCAATCATGGTTAACAGAGCAGGATTACTATTCTTACAATACTTTCTCCCCCTTCAACATTTACACAAAGAAATACTACTTGGCTGTGAAAACCTCCCTGAAATCTTACCTTTTGTGACAGCACGGATGGGCCTGGGATTATTGTGCTAAGTGAAATAAGCCAGTCAGAGAAAGACAAGTACCATATGATCTCATTTATATGTAGAATCTAATGAACAAAATAAACGGATGAACAAAATAGGAGCAGAGCATAAATACATGGAACAAACTGACAGATCTCAGAGGGGAGGGGTTTGGGGGTGAATGGATTAAGCAAACACACACACACACAAAACATAGATATAGACAAAAGTGTGGTGATAGTCAGAGGGGTGGAGGTGGAGGTGGGCAAAGAAGGGATAAATGGGAACAGGAAGAGACTTTGGGTGATGGGCACACGATTCAGTGTGCAGGTGATGTTTTGTTGAGTTGTGCACTTGAAAGCTGTATGGTTTTTGTGAACCAATGTCATCCCAGTAAATTCAATTAAAAATTAATCAAACACGCTATTAGTGATCTACTAGTGATGGCTGTATTATCATGCTTCTTTTGCCAAAGTAGACTTGTTTGAGCTCCTCTGGCAGTTGGATAAAGCAGAAGCAGAGCAAGCAGGACCCCTTGCTCCTTGAGAACGTCTGTAAGTGCCTGAGAAACCCCAGCAGCTCCGGTGTCCACACAACTGGCCTGCAGGTCACTCTGATGTGACAACCTTCACAGTGCCCTTGAGCCTACCGGACTTCTGTATCCTGCCGCAATTGTATAGATATAGACAAAAGTGTGGTGATAGTCAGAAGGGTGGAGGTGGAGGTGGGCAAAGGGGGGATAAATGGTGTTAACGTAAAAAACCATTGAAACCTGTAAAGAATTTTGTGAGTTTATTTGAGCCAAACTGTCGACATATTCTGGGAAGCAGAACGAATTGAGATAACACTTGAGCCTACCGGACTTCTGTATCCTGCCGCAATTGTCTACAATGCACACGAAATAAACAAAACCTTAAAAAATGTAAAGAAAAGTTAAGCAGTTGAAGTATAAATGTTTTATTGGCAGCGTTTTTATCGTGTTTAAACCTGTGGATCTCAAAGAATCACTTTACTTCCTTTAGCACTCCCGTTCAAGACCATCCTATCTGAGAGGCCTTCCAGACCCCCAACTATAAATACCATGTTCCTTTGTCCTGCCCACTGTCACTCCCTAACCCTGTTGTCCTAGTTTACTTTTTCCCATAACACTTAGTAACACCCCATAAATATATTGTTTGTCCTCCATTTCTCCATGGTGATAGATTAAGGAGGTGGGATTAAGCAAAGTGAGGAAACCTCTGGGATAGGATAAAAAGTGAAATGATGGACATGTGCTTCTCTTACACAGATGGGTACAGGATAGCTTAACATAATTAACAGTTGACAATTAACTTGATAACAATGACAATGAGGGAATGTCCTGGTGCCATTTGTTGTGCCCTGACGGGGCCGGAGGTAAAAAGGAAGTTACAAAGTTACAAGTTACCCAGACATCTAGAGGATATGTTATCTTAGAGGCCAAAAGGCGAATGGGCTCAGTAAGGACCAAACCAGATCTTTGTCAGGGAAAATATTGGCTTAGGACATGACTACCCATTATAACCTGTTTGTAGTTAATATTTAATATTCAGACCATCTTTTGTGGTTATTTTAGGTCTCTGAGTTTGCAAGACTGCCACGCAGGCCTCCCTTGAGCTTGTCAGGTTAGCATGTGGCTCCTTTCATCCACAATGGGAACGGGAAGAGACTTTACTTTGGGTGATGGGCACACGATTCTGTGTGCAGGTGATGTTTTGTTGAGTTGTACACTTGAAACCCGTATGGTTTTGTGAACCAATGTCATCCCAATAAATTCAATTATAAATTAATCAAACACGCTATTAGTGATCTATTAGCAATGGCTGTATTATCATGCTTCTTTTGCCAAAATAGACTTGTTTGAGCTCCA